GCCGCCCTCCCGTGTTGCACTTCTCCCTGCTCTGTCCAGGCTCTCTTTCCAGTTTATTTATTTTTTTACCTTTGTCTTGATCATTTAAAATTTCCCTCCTGTGCGTCTTTCCTTCCGCCACTATCTCTTTCGTTTCTCTTTATTTCTGTTTGCTTCCCTGCCTCTTCCTCTCTTTCCTGTTATGTCTTTTCTTCCCCCTTTATTTTTCATCGCTCTTTTTCTTTCCAGTCTGCCTTTTCCCTCTTGTTTCTGTATATCTTTCTTTGTTATTCATTATTTTTTCCTCTTTTAAAAAAAAAATTAAAACTGAAGTTTTTCTCTAACTTCTTATTTTTAAATGACTTTCTTAAAATGTCCTTCACTTTCTTCTTTCTGTTCTTGCCCTCTCTTTTTCTTCTTTCTCTTTTTCCCTACCTTCCTTTCGGGTTTTCTGTGTTTTCTCTTCTTTTCTCAGTTTCCCTTCCTCCTGGCTGCCTGGCGTCTTTCCCTTTCTCCTTTCCCCTTGTTCCTTGTACTTTCATCCCACCTCTCTGAGCTCAGGGCTCCTACCTCCACCGCCTTTCTCTGGCCCTCCGCTCCTGTCCTTCCCGCCTCCGCTCGCTCACCGCTTCTGGGCCTGGCTGGGTCTAGCTTTGTGCAGGTCTCTGTAGCTGGGTCCCCAGGCTGGAGGGTGCACAAGCTTCGGGCAGGATGCCTGCCCTTCCTTTGCCCCAGAGTTGAAGCTGGAAGCCTGGGGCCCACCCTGCCAGAGGTCCCCTCCCACCCACTCCGTGCCCCAGCCCTGCCAACTCTCTCTGGGGCAGCAGTGGCAGAGGATCTGGAGGGCGGTCGGTGTAGACGCTGCGGGAAGGCTCACCTTCCATGTCCCTGGTGACGGTGCTGAAGTGCATCCCGGCCGGGGATTCCAGCAGCCGGTGAAGCTTCGCCCGGTTGGGGGACCCGGGGCCCAGGCGGGCGGCACGCTCTGCGGCCTCTGCTGCAACCAGAGAGGCGATGCTGAACGCGCTGGCCCGGGGAGACAGCGGGCTCCGCGCGTCCATAAGCTAGCTCCACACTGGAGCTGAACCTCCACGCCCTAGCCTTGGCCAATCGCTTGTCACCCTTGCCTGTGTGGACGCAGCCTAGCAATTGCCGAGCTAGCCTCCGCTGGCGACACCCCAGCCGCAGGCTCCAGTCCCAGCCTTCCACAGAGCCACGCCAGCTCGATCTAAGCTCCCGGCTCCAACAAAGTGAAACCGGGTTATTCTGTGAGATTCCAAGGAGTCCTGGTTGACCTTTCAACTGCGCCTAGGCTGTCCGCAATTCCACAGTAAGGCCCAGTGCTGGAGTCTCCCTACCTTCCTTGGGGACACCTACAAGTTCCCACTCCTCCAACGGCCACCATAACCCTAAGGCACAGCTACTCAGGGCAGACTTGGCCAGTGCCCTCATGGCCTCTAGTTCTCCCTCCCCCGGGACTCCACCTTGATGACCAGATCGGGCTCTTGAGAGGGCATTGTGCCACTCCAGGATGGGCCGCTGGCTATGGGCCGGCCCTGCCCGCGGGGCCCTGGAGCACAGCACAAGGCCTGGCCCCCAGCCCTTCCTACGGCTTCCCCTCACTCCCTGCAGGCGGTGGGCAGAAAACAGATGACACTGAGCTGGCCCTCCTGGACTGGCCTGCCCCTACCACCACCCCACCTCTGCGGGCTGGAGGGTGAATGCTCACTCCTGGGGTGAAGCCTAGCTGGTGCCAAGACCCTTGCTGGGCTGGCCTGGACCGGGAGCTGGGGCACAGTCCTGGGGGAGAGGGGGTGCCCAGGACAGCAAGGAGAGCTGGAGCTGAGCATGGGCCCCAGGCTTCCCAGGGAGGGCGGCCTCCGCAAGGAAACAGAAACCACCAGAAGGCTCTGCAAACAGGCCGTGAGCTCCCTTTGGCCAGGCGGGCTCGGAGCTGGTGTCTCTGTGTGTACATTAGACACAGCCCGGCACTCGCCTTTGTCTGTTGGTCAAATCCGTTGCATCGAAAAACTTGTTCCCCTTCTTCTCTCTGGGCCCTTACAACAAATACAGGCCAATTGGAAGACGCCGGCCCCAGCGGCAGAGCCAGGCCCCACAATCACCCGGAATTTAGGCCTAAGACAACTGGGCAGCAGTCTCCACGGAACAGAACACACTGCTTTAGAGTCTTCATTCTCCCCTAAAATGTTCCCGACAATTGCCCAGCTGCTCCTCTTTAGCCGGGACAGACTGAACTAAGGAACCAAAGACCGAGTTTCCTTGGAGGTGGGATCCACCGGGAGGCAGAGCCGGCTGGTGGCAAGGCCCCTCACAGGCGGCTGCCTTCCCCCCTAAGCTCGGTGAGCTCTGAGCCGGTCCGTTTCTGGCGGTGCCAGGTCCTGGGGCTGCCGGTCGGGCGGCAGGTCCGCAGGGTTTCTCTCCGCCGCCTTC